TCTTTGCCGTTATTATGAATAAAACATTTGCAACCAAAGACTCGAAGATGGGAAAGGTTTGGCTTTCTCCCTTTGTATAGTTCATAGGGCGTTTTCATGAGTATCGGTCGAATGACGGCTCGGTTTAACACGTAGCTCGCGGTACTCACGGCATCCGCCCAAAAATACTTAGGGATTTTTGCCTCATTGATCATAGTTCTAGCCATCTCTTCGAGACATCTATTCTTACGTTCCACCACTCCATTTTGTTGTGGTGTACGTGGGGCTGAGAAGTTATGATCAATGCCAAGTTCGTCACACAAATCTGAAAACAGATTTTGTTCGAACTCTCCCCCATGGTCGCTTCTTATGGCTACTATGGTTGTTTCTTTTTCATTTTGAACTTTCTTTAGAAAATTTTTGAAAACATGAAATGCTTCACTTTTATGAGTAAGAAACAAGGTCCATGTAAACCTAGAGTAGTCATCGACAATCACAAACGCAAAGTAATTGCAACCAAATAAAGCTTTTCGTTCTAGAAGGACCAAAAAGATCCATGTGCAAAAGTTGAAGCGGTCTAGACGTTGAAACAACGTTCTTAGACTTAAACGAAGCCTGAACTTGCTTCCCCTTTTGACATGCATCACATATGGCGTCTTTTTCAAACTTAAGTTTTGGAATGCCAATTACTAAGTCTTGTGAAACCAATTTGTTCAAAAGGTTCATGTTCATATGAGCTACCCTTCGGTGCCATAACCAAGTGTCTTCCTCTTTACTCATGAGGCACTTAGCAAAGTCGGAAGGAGACTTGTCTAAGTTAACCATATAAATGTTATCGATTCTATCACCACGTAGAATGACCTTATTATCACTAAGGCGTTCTACCGTGCATGATTTTGAATCGAAGGTCACACGGTTTCCCTTGTCACATAATTGACTTATGCTCAAGAGATTGTGTTTAAGAACTTTAACAAGCAAGACATTATCTATAGAGGAGTTTTCAGATTTACCTACTGAACCAACGCCGATAAATTTTCCCTTGCTATTGTCTCCAAAAACTACGTTTCCTCCTTTAGCGGGTTTGATTTGGAGAAACTTGGATGCATCCCCGGTCATGTGCTTGGAGCATCCGCTATCAAGGTACCAAAGTACACTTGATGCCTTCAAGCACACCTATGAAACACATCAATGAGTTTTAGGTACCCAATTTACGTTGGGTCCTTGGGTGTTAGGTGTGTGATGGTAGTGTGCTTGATTTTGTGACAGGTGCCTATGCCTAGTGTAACAAACGGGAGCAATATGGCATATCCTATTACAATAATGGCAAACTACATTGGGGTTGTACATGTGCCTAGGTTCATAATAGTTAGAAGGTTTAACCATTTTGTTCCTATTTTGTGAAAATGATGGTTTTTGGAAATTTTGAAACTGGCCTCTTCTAGGTGTTCTAGCATTATTTCTTCTTATTTGAGAAAATTCATTTTTATGCACAAAATCATTTTTCTTAGGTTGTCTACCATGACCGTTTTCATTCCTAGGTTTTAGTCTAGGTTGTCTAGTGTCCTTAGGTTGACTAGGTTTTCTATTATCTTGATTTTTAGGTTTCTTATGTTGA